TTAATTCATTTGTAAGTTACTTCTCTGTAAAATAACTTCAGAATACAATTAATGATAGCTCCATAAAATCTATATATAAGATAGCCTCATTATATGTTTAAAAAATTACAAGAGTGTGTGTATGAGAAAGAGAGAGAGATAAGCATTGAGAGCCATCTTGTGGCTTTCTTGTTACTGCATATTATATTCTTGATTGTGTCTGTCTTTCTAAACAAATTTTCTTTTGTTTGGAAATATCTTGATTTAGGATATCTGTATTTCATAATTGCATTTTGTCATCCTAAAAGTAGAAAAAGGTGTTCTGCATGCATAATACTTGTGCGTATAATTGAATAAGGCACATTATGTTTGCTAAAACTGGGTTACTAAATTCTAAAATTCAGAAATTGCTAAATGAGAGCTGGTGCTACAGTGGCATAGTATCTTCCGTGGAAATCCAGTAGTTTCTCACTCTTTTTAATAACTGGATAATTAAGTGTATTCACTGATTAATGTTGATTTTACCCCTGACCCTTATAAAACACATTCTAGAGATCTAATGTGTGTATGTGTGGTATCTATTTGTCTGTGTTTTGACGGAGTTGAGTTCTGTAATCAGATAGTTACAAAAGATTCAGTAAGTGCTTGGTGCATGTGTACATGCTCTCTCTGTGCATTGTATATTTATGTCTATATAGATATGTATGTGTGTATATGCATATGTTTATGTATGTATTCACATAGATACATGTATTATATGTATTGTGTAGATTTTTCTGATAGATATGAAATAGATATCTGTATTCAGCAGATACTGATTTTAATAAATATTTATTTGAAATATTTATTTATTACCATAGAGAGCCAGTTTAGTGTAGTGGTTAAAGGCACTGGGCTATAAGCCGAGAGACTGAATTGTAGCCAGCTGGGTGACTTTGGACCAGCCACTTTCTCTTAACCATAGGAAGAAAGCAGTGGCAAGCCACTTCTAAAAATGCTGCCCAGAATATTTCATGGACTCGTCCATGTAGTTGCCAGAAGTCAAGACTGATTTGAAGGCATTAAAAAAAAAAAATACTACCATATGACTCCAGGTAGATATTATGGTAGCACATCAAAATTGCACTTCTAGACACTTTCTTTGGAATGAAGCTCTATTGTGCAGTGAGATTTCTTTCAGTATAAGAATTGCGGACTCATTCTTTTAGAACCATTGGTGGCTATCACTGTACCCACATTGTAAGACCTTTGCTGAGATCATCATCATCAGAAAATAGGCCAGCTGACTAGTGGATAGTTGTGTTTGCTTGTATTTCCATCACTTGTGCTCTAGTTGTCTATGAGTCTTTTCCCAAAACTGTGGCACCAACCACTGTTTATCATAGGGGCCTATTTGACTTCTCATAGTAGAAGCTTTTAAAGAGATACAGTATATTTTCAGCTTTTGCTTTCCAAGAACTCTGATAGCATTAGGCAGCTGTGTATTCATACATGTAATCCTCAAATTACGACCACTCATTCAGCAACCATTCATAATTACGATGGTGCTGAACAAAGGGGACTTACAACTGGTCCATGAAGTTGTGGCTGTCGCAGCATCCCCATGGTCACGTGATTATGACATTGGATCGTTATTTGCAACTTTCCCTGCCAGCTTCCCATAACCAAAGTCAATGGGGAAGCCAGCAGAGAAGGTCGCAAGTCACTCTCATAATTTGCTCCTGCCACTTTTTCTCCTGAAAAGCCCCACTGTAGCATCCCTCTACTGGCCATATCACACCCACTCACCCACGGCCCCTGCAAGCCCACCCATACTCCTCTGCACCTGCCCACAGCCCTTACCAGCCCACCCACACTCCACAGAGATCTCCTATGGCCTCTGCTGGCTGGCCCGCGCTTCCTAGCGCCTGTCTGTTACACACACCCCTCACACACACCTCTACACCCTTACCTTGGACTCCTGCCTCTTCCCACTTAACAATCTGTGCTGTCCTAGGATTACGATGGCAACCGGGACTGCCAGGATTGCTGTCGCTAAGTGATGCAGTCATGTGACTTTGCACTTACAACAGTATTGCTTAACAATGGCAATCCCAAACCCAGTCACCATTGTAACCCAAGGACTACCTGTAGTTAGCTTTACAGATGAATGACATTAAACTTAGGCAGAAATCTAAAGCCTCCTGATTTCTATATTTGCGCACACACACGCATACAGAGAGAGAGAGAGAGAGAGAGACAGAGAGAGAGAGACTTATCCAGTAGGCTTGTATAGCGATACTGTACTGTTTTTGACAAGTAAGAGAAATATCTCTGTGAACCAACACAGCTCACTTTACTTTCAAAATCTTTTTAAAATTTTCTGTAACATTGCAATTTCTATATTTACATGTTCTTATAGAATATAGATTCCTTATTTATTTATTTGTCTCATGCCATTTTGGAAAGAACACATAAATGAAAGAAAGCTGGAGATTGAAAATAGTGTAGAGTATCTTTTTGATACTAAGATTAATAGAACGCACTTTATTCCTCAGTTTCAGAATATGTTTCTGATTCTCTTGCTCTTCCATGGCTTTTTGTTCTTTTCAGTATTTTTCCTAGTTAACAACAAAGGAAGGGGAAATGTCACTGTTAACATTAAAGAAAAATGTATTTTTAAATTAAAAACTAATTAAATTCTACTGTTCAAAGTAATGTAGCCTTGCTTTGAGAGCTTCTCTAACCTAAAAGCAGGATATTAATTTAAATAAATAAACTCACATCACTATTACTTAGAAATAGCACCACATTTTTCTAATTCTTCTGTCATGAGCTATGTCTAATTAGAAGAATTGGTTTCCAGACTGATAGAATTTCAAGAGACTGTTACGTAAATAACCAGCAGCAAGCTTCCCCATTATCAGTTAAGAGACCTGCCTTCACACAGTTCATCAGAAGGCTATTAGAAAGAGAATCAGAAAATCTCCACCTTAAATGTACATGGAGATGTCTCAGTTCTGAACTAAAAACAGTTCAGTTATTGTCATTCTTATAACTCCATCCCATCCATCTCTACAAATCTTGTTAAGGAGGACTCTGTTCATGGGGGGAAAAAATCACTTTCAGTTTACACATCTGCAAAGAGCCCTAATGCTAATAATCTTATTCCTTGCCTTTGTTGGTAACTAGTATTGCTCCAGGTGAGAAATGCAATAACATTATATATCTGTGTGTGAAAGAGTAACAGAGAGGGTCCGGGAAAGCAGGCAAATAAGCAGCTTAATGTCCTTCCTAGGTCTGAGAGAAAGTGACTAGCCCAAGGTCACCCAGCTGGCTTCATGCCTAGGTGGGACTAGAACTCACATTCTCCCAGTTTCTAGCCTGATGTCTTAACCACTGCACCAAACTGGCACTTGCACGTGCGCGCGCATGCGCACACATGCGCTCTCTGTCTCACTCTCTCTCTTTTTATGGGCAAGAGGCAGTTATTTCTCCCCCTAAATCCTCCCAAATTAGTGGTTTTCACACTTGATCTTCCATCTGTTATTGCATACTCAACTGATGGAGAAAAAAAAGCACATATGGCAGGCATGAGTTTTGCTATGGGCGGAGTTTTGCTGGGGGGGGAGAAATTAAAGAAAAAAGGTGCCCTTCACCCATTTTTGTAGTGTGAGGTACATATGGCTCTTGAGCTGACAGACATTACCAGACCTGTGTTGTATACCTACAATACTACTGGCCAGAATTATTAGGATTGGGACAATCTATAAATATTTTTAAATATATATATTTAAATGCTCTTTCCCCTCCTTTGACCAAAATGACTCTTGCATTGGAAGGTTCTTCAGCTGGCAAATTGCGGATGGGACAGCATTCATCATAAGGGAAATTTTAGCATTGAAATGTGTAGCTGTCAATACTTTGTGTAGGGTTTTCATTATAGCATTTATTTATAACCTTGTTGTTTACACAAGATTGAACAGATATAATCAGAAACATCTGTAATTGTGATAGAGATTATAGCAGTATTGACAGTCCATTGTATTATGAACAACATTAAATCAAAGTAGTAAGCGATCAGTTACCCTGTACTGTCTTTCTCCAAACTGTTGCAGGCTCACTTTCTTTCAAAAGACTTCCAAAATAAGTAGATTGGGAGCTCTCTGCCATCTTTTAACCTTTGTGGAGTGCCTGTATTATGTTGATAAATATGTATCTGAATGTTGAGATTTGTTTTGTTTTGTTCCTATACAAATTGTGTCAAATTTCATTGACATTCTAGTTTCTCAGAAGATATCCTGAGAAACTAATAGTCTTGAAATAATCTCCATGGTGTCCATACATATGAAATAGGAAATACACATGAAGGTCTAAACTGCTTTTCCAGTTTGGATATTTAACATTCTTCAGTACAGGTTGCTTTGAGGTCTGCTTTTGAAATCTGATGACTTAAACAATTGGTTTTGGAATATGGACTTTCTCTGTTGACCTCAGAAAAGATTTTGGGGGGGGCGGGTATGTTTTGTAGCAATAGTGGCTCAATTTTGGGATGCTTTTCTTTTCAAAAGATAGGGTAGGTATGGGAGTGTGAGGATTCTGGAAAGAATCCTGGAAAGAACCTAATAACCTTATAGAACCTTATATAGGAATTTTGTTGTTGTAGTGTATTTTAATTAATATTTATTCTATTTTAATTACTATTTATTCTTTTTACTGTAAACCACACAGAGTTGCTGTGCAGTGAGATGGGCAGTGACAAATTTGAAATATAAATAAATAAAATAAATAAATATAAATAAATAAATACCTCTCTTCAAATAACAAATGACGCCTAACAGTATTTTACTGTTTGCATTGCTCAGACTCTTACATGCTAAGAACTACCAGTTCTGAATAACGTGTGACTAGAGGTACATTCAGTTTGCATCCTATTTATGCACACATGGAAATCTGTGGAATTTTGTACATGCTAGGATTGCTGTATGTTTTTCTCTAAACATTGTATTAATTTTGTATATATTTCCCTTGTCCATGAAAAGGTGCAGAAGTCCAGAAACAAGCAATTACGTGAAATGTTTCCAGATGGATTCAGCATTCATCATGCAGGAATGCTCCGGCAAGACAGAACTTTAGTAGAAAACTTGTTTTCTCGTGGTTACATAAAAGTCTTGGTTTGTACTGCTACATTAGCCTGGGGTGTCAATCTTCCAGCTCATGCAGTCATCATTAAGGTAAAAGCAGCAGTCTGTCTGTTTTAGCCATTAGACATCCATAAAGTGTCATGGAACATGATTTTTTCACTATTTGCAGAAGAGGGGAGGAAAGATCTCCTGCTAATTATCTAGCAGTGTTGGGAGAGGTTGATTGTTAAACTGACTCTCTCCTTTGGGAATCAAGTTGGAAAGTAAAGATTTAAATATATCACAGATTATAAAAGGATTATCATAAGTACACTTTTGAAAGCCTGTTGTATTTGCCTAATTTTGGTCTCCAGCTCATCTGGTTTATAATGATGTGTGTTTATGTTAATTTTTATTAACTTTTTGTCAAATAGGGAACACAGATCTATGCTGCAAAAAGAGGATCCTTTGTTGACCTTGGAATTTTAGATGTCATGCAGATATTTGGTCGAGCTGGACGGCCCCAGTTTGATAAATTTGGAGAAGGCGTCATTATTACAACACATGATAAACTCAGTCATTATCTGACTCTGCTTACTCAGCAGAATCCAATTGAAAGTCAGTTTCTTGAAAGCCTTGCAGACAACTTGAATGCAGAGGTACATTTTCTTAAGCAATTCTACATGCTTAATATATACATGCCGTTAGAGAACAGTATAAATAAAATGGAGAAGAGAGGGGGGAACAATGCTATTTATATTCAGATCTATAAATTGTAACTATTTCATAAACTGTTTTGCATGGGTATGCTGTGACACTGGTAACATATTAAGCAAGAAATGTAATGCTTCATAAGGTGCAGTATTTTAAAGCATGTGATACATTGTCCCAATACTACTTTCTGTGAAATTATGCATATTTCTTAAATCAAGAAATAATACTGAAAGTGTTCTGTGAATAATGCTAAAATGAGTATAAGTTATTCAACATATCAAGAGACCTGACTCTTCATAATCTGTTGTGTTCTTTGTAAGAGTTTGGCTTTGAAGACCACATGATTTGAAAAAACAATCCTTTCCCTCATTTTTTAAAATCAGGAAAGTGCAGAATGGGGACAGAATGTTCTTGTCTTCTGGGATAAAATAAGGTACCATAGCTGGAATACTGTTGCTTTTCCAGAACTAAACGCCATGAATCACTTCCAATTTACTTAAGGTACACTTCTTGACAGCCCCTTGAAGAGCTGACCTAAGAGAAAAATGGAATGTTATAGTATTCCCTGGAACTTTCTGTCCCCTTGAACCATTTTGTGCATCGCTAATTCTGAGCAAGGCTTCACTGGTAGAAAAGTATTTGATTGTCATGGATCAATGTCTACCCCAGAAAGCCCAAATTTAGAAGTGCAGGACTCCCTGCAGGAGTAATTAGCACAGCATTCCAGAAATGGAACAGAGGCAGATTTGGCCTAAAGTCCCTCTCTTGTCCTGATGGGCCCAAGGATTTGGCACTTTGGAAAAAAGTGGTCTGATGCTGAAACAGCTAATTTAGTCGTGTGGGTTTTGATGGGAGATAATTTAAATCTGTCTCTTTATCCATCTGTCTATCTGTCCATCCTGAGGCATCTGAGTCTTCTGGAGAATGGGGCCAATTTAATACTTTGAGAAGTGGTGTTTTCGTGCCAGTGGACTTTGCAAAGGGACTCTTTTAATTTAATAATAATAATAATAATAATAATAATAATTTGACACAGTATGGTATGAAGTCAGGTAGAAATGGTGTTAGTTTAAAGAATTGTAAGAAGCTGCAAGACTCAGATCCCAACGAAAGCACTTCCCATTGAAACCGTTTAAGGCTCAAAGAAGAATTCATTTATTGAGACTAGTGTACAGTCCTAGGCATTGCTGAGACTAAAGAGCCTGCGCCTGCCAAACCCAGTTTTACCCCCTTTTCCTTCACCTCCCCCCTTGATATCCCATAACCGTTCTTGCGCATGCCCCTGGGTTTCTCCTGGTCTCACGCTGGTACGACCTTGGGCCTTCCTGGAAAACAGATAACAATCCATTTGCGCCTGACGGTTTACCTTCCATCTCTCCACCCCCCCACTTCTCTTGTAATGGCAGAAACGAACCAAGCAAGCTAGCGGGATAGGTTAATTGATTGCGAGGCTTCTGACATGAATCAGCTTGCCCTTAATCTGAAACATTTGGGAATGAGAGTGAGTTGGGGGCCAATTTGCCATGTTTTCATCACAGGTTATGTTCTCAATGGCTGTTTGTATATAATATAGGTGCACAAAGGTTTTAAACCCCTAGTTGCCAGAGGAATATTTTCAAAAGACACATACCTGATTCAATAACCTTCCACTGTGAAACAATAGAAATTATACATTGTTTTGTAAATAAAACATTATTTCAGCATATTTCTTACACATTTTTATCATGCAAGAAGAAATTCATGTAGTTCATTTACCAAATTCATTTTCACAGTTTGTGATTATAGGTGTTGCCTTACTTGGCTTTAAAAGAGAATTAAAGAAATATGCTAACTATATACTGTAAGAATTAGTACAGTTCTGAATACCAGTTGCTGGGAACAATTGAAGGAGAGGATCATTATATTTATATCCTGATCGTTAGATTTTTAAGTGTATATGGCTGTGCCTGGTAGGAAATAGAACAATAAAGTAGATAGGGCCACTGTTATGTCCATTTTCATTATGGACAGCTTTGATGCAGAGATAGCTATTAAGTAAAATCCTCAAAATTGCTTGAGGAGACAACTCATACAGTATATGAGTTGCTCACCTTTTCTTTGCCTCCTCAAGTATCCCCTGAAAAATTTCTCCAAACTGGAAGGTTGAGCAGGGAGACCCTACAAAATACTGGATAGCATATGTTACCAGAATGAAGTTGAAGAGAACCATTGAAACTGCACAGAAGGATTTTGCACTGCTTGCACTAAGCTATTGATTTCATTGGTTTACTTCTTTCAATGAAGCCTGGTAAAACACTTATTTGAATTGTTGGGTGGATCTCCCTGAGACTCACAGGAATTTTTGTTTGGACGTGACGAATGTAGGGACTAAGGAAAGGAAGACGGAATGAGAGATAACCATTGTTCATCCTGGTTTCTAGTCTTATTTTATTTATTTTATTTATTTGTATATCAAATTTGTCAGCACCCATCTCTTTAAAAAGCAACTCTGGGCAGTTTACAAAAGAAATAAAATAAATTAAAATACAATATAAAACAATCTTATATAAGTAATAAATAAATTCCAAGGAATGATAAAATTGGTGAATGTTGGATTTCACCATTCATTTTAATCACTCCCATTTTAGTCCAGTTTAATCATTCCTTTTCACCTACTGTCCAGGAAAATAATGTAATTTTAGAAGCAATAACAGAGAACTAAACAGAAAAGAAAGACAGCTATGCTTGTTTTAAAGTTCTCTTTTCATTTTGAACATAGATATTTATATGTGTTGATTAGAATGCTGCCCATAGGGAAACAGTTTGGTTTCATTTCTGATTTCCTATTTCTTTCTATTTTATAGAGGAAAGACTATGAAAACTAATTTTTCTTTGGCCTTCCCAAAATGCAATTTTGTTTTTTGAAAAAGTTTAATTGTGGTTGAAAAGATCTAGTGCATGGTAAGCATAAAATTAATCTTCAGTGGTCAAGAACTGTGCCAGTTCTGACAACTGAGGGTCAACGCTGAAGTGTATTAATGATTTCAAATAAACTTATGTTAGTGAAAATAGCAAGGCATCTCTGCTAGTGCTACTTAAAATGCCGAAAAGCAAAAGCGTGAAGCCCTGACAGGGCCATGAAACTATATTTTTTTATGTACTCTGGAACACTGGACATGACTTTTCCTGCTGACATAATAAGCCATGAAAGATCGGTATTTACTTGATTACAGAAAATCAATTGTAAGTCAGTTTTTCATTTCCCTGGGTTGTAACTCAGTCATTTATCTCTTTCAGATCAGATCTTCATATAAATATCTTCCTTTTTTGCTTAACTAGCTTTTGCAATGATGTGAGGAAAAAAAGGCTTTGGAGTCTTCCTGGGGAATAGGCTTAAGGTTATGTTTTGTGTGCAACGCTGCTTGAGAAAGAAGAAATGAAACATACAATCAGTATTCAATTTTAAAGCAGTTAAAATGACGTTGACCGAATATAGTTCATTCCATTGATCCACATTAATATTACCGTTTGGTAGGGAAACTTTGGAATGGCTCTGGAGTTTGCATCTGAGTTTTTTTGTCGCGGAGGGTTCGTGCAGCCCTGAGGCCTCCAGATATACATCCCTGCAAGAGATGTTCCACTCAAATTGGATGGAATTCAGATTGCAAAGCAGTTCCTGATGGATTGCTCCAATGGAACTAGCATTGCCACAAGTGGGAATACTTGCGTGGGAAAAATAAGAACAGAAAGAGTTGAGAGAAGAAAACTGAGTGTAAATGGTGAACCTAAAGCTGAGTGCTAGATCGTTAACTAAGATTGAAGTTAGATCTTGGAAGAAGGAAACATTGAAGACTAATACTATAGAAGAAGAGTGAAGAGGAGAACAGCAGTGTCCATGGTGGGGGGATAGAGATTCAAAGAAAAGAAAATGGCAGATACGGTGTTATACTATGAGCCCGGGCCCTTTGTATGTGTGCATGTACAAAAGGGCCAGGGCGTGCATTGCAACACTGCTTCTGCCATCTTACTTTTTTGACACACATGTACAACCAGTGGACACTGATTTGGGATAATGTATTCCCTAGCTTGGCTTCCTGCAGATCTATTAGACTGCTGATCCCATAATTTATAGCCAGTATGACATTGAACATGACAGTTCAACCCTGACCCATCTGGAAGATAGCCTGGTTGATATAGTCTCTTTATGAATTGGATATACAGACAGTAGAAAGGCAGAAATTACCTTAAGTTGTAGGAAGATTGAAGTTAAACATTTAAGTTTGAAATACAGCAACTGGGATCTGCAACAAAATGGTACAGTATTTAGCATTTATGTCCAAGTTGGAATCTTTCCATGCCATTCTGTTTCCACTGACCATATTTTCCCTTTCTAGACTGTTCTGAAGTTTTACCTCCTTTTGGTTTCTTTTCTTCTGAGCTGTTTTTGTATTTTTACAAATTGGATTTTCCCCAGCCGCTTAATAATTTGGGCATGGCATCTTTATGGCTCCATGTGAGCTGGCACTTGGGAAATTGAGATTGCTATTAATATGCACTATAATTCATCAGTGCAGTAAGCACTTAACAATAGTTATGGATTCTGCCTGTGAAACCTGATCTTTAAACCAAAATGGATGCTCTAGTGTGTGACCATGCACACAAATATTTTCCAAAGTGTGTGTGTATGTGTGTGTACACACACATAAAAACACTAGTTCAAATATAGTCACCTTGAAGCAATTTACAAATTTTTAAAAAAGATAAAATGATTAAATACTGTGCAGTATGATAAACACATTAAAAGGATGGAAAGGAAAGGAAAAACATATCCTTCACATTTATCTAGGGAAGATCTGTGTAAAGAGATAATTCAGTAGGGATCTAAAAGTCAAAATAATAGGTATCTTACAGTTTTGAATGGGTAGGGATTCCAAAAAGCAGGTACCACTCTAGAGATTATCTGCTT